TGTGTGTGTGTGTGTGTGTGTGTTTGAAAACAACTTTAAAAACATGTTGTCAAGGACATAAGACAGCATTGCCATTCTCTGCACACTATAGGCATTTGTTAAATGCATGTACAAACGCAGGTAGGAAGTCACCTTCATAGCATCCTACCAGGGTCTACAATAGGGTTGTTTCCACAGTGTGAATTTGGTTGCTAGCAAGAGAGTGGCACCCGGAAAGTGTGCTTTCACAGAGCGGTATCAAGTTCAGACAGACCTTTCGCTGATTGGACCGCCCAGTGGAGCAAGCAGATGTTCTTGTTCTGAAAGGTTCACTGGCCAAGCGGCTCCTCATCTCTCAGAAGCTCCCCAGAGAGTGACTCCCCCTTGTACCCCAGCTGCCTCGTTGCTGATTAGTATGGCCACGAGGAACATCCTCTTGGTCCTTGTGATCCTTGTCTTGCTCTCCTGCATTCCGTCAGGTAAAATGGAATCCCCCCACCTATGGAATTAAGAATAATGAAGGGAAAGGGGATGTGGGGTTCTACAAGAGGGAGAAGAAAGCGGGACTCGGACAGAAGAGACTGAAACGTGGAGGGATGTGATCAGAGATGGACACGTTGAATTGCGGCAGGGAAGGAGAAAAGATGCGAAGGTCACAGAACAGGGGGTGGCCTTCTTCAGAGAGGAAATGGGTTCTGGATTTGGATCTGGGGAATCTGCGAAGTTTGAGGGGAAGGCTGGATGGATGGTACTGGCAGAAGTGGGACAGAGCAAGAAGAGGAGAACTTCAGAGTTCAGGGAGAACTTGGGAGTGAGAGTTCTAGGAGTCCTCAGGGACTCTTAGGACTGGCTTTCTGAAGTCAGCCACCCAGGCTGTTTTTCACTCATTTAGAAGCCAGGGCAAATTTTATGCTGAGCAGAATTCACAAACAGAGCTGGTTGTCAAGATGCATCAAATTAACTTGTAGCCCAATGAGATCCTGGAGCATCAGTTTAAGGGATCAGAATTTACATTTTCTGCACAGAAGTCAGCAACGTGGTAGTACTGAGGAGTCCACATTAAGTCACTGAAGTGGAAGTCCTCAAACAGGTTTTGATTGTGGTTTTCTGGGGTCTGCAGAAAGCTCCTACCTTTCACCTCAAATCTTCATATTTAAAGTGTATCACTCAAGGGCCAAATGTGAAATGTTTCAAAGACAGATATAGATGAGAATCATGCTGAGATTGTTGCTTTTGTCTTGGAGGCAGGACCTCCAGACATGTTGCACTTGTCTTTATTGGTCTCCTTTGTCCCCAGAAAGATGTCCCAGGGCAAAGTTGTTTACTAATGACCCTTGGTCATACCACATTGATTATTTTTACATTACACAGGCCTAATCCATGATTTCATAGGGACAACTGGGTGAAGAAACTGATGGAACTTAGGGTGCAAGAGTGCATGATTCAGTAGAGTGACTCAGGACCACCCTCACCCTCTTAAACTGTCTTCTTGCTACCTCTCCTCCACCCCTTGGCTTCCAGAGGCGGCCAGGTCTTAAGGTCTAGGAAAAGAGATTTTGGTATATCAAACCTCTTCACACTCATTATCCTATGGAATGTTCTTAAGTACTCTGTGATTAAGCACTTGGCAACAAGTCATACAGTATGTCAATGAGGAATACAGGGCTAGAACTGTGGGCTTCTAAAATTCCAGTTCAGCGATCATTCTTTCCTCATGCTGAAACTTAGATAATTACAAATTGCCTTGGGAAGTTATTCCAGACCCCATATACCTCCTGGTATGGGGCCTCTGAGGACTCCTAGAACAACTTCTACGTCTGAATGTTCTATCCATAGCAAGTAGTCCCTAGCTGAATCTACTGGGGCCCTGTTAACTGCATACGGTTGATGAGTGGTTTCTGCAATTGTGGATTTGTATGAGGCTTATAATAAGGCCCCTGGAAATAAGGTAAGAGCAAATGAAAAGGGGGAATTCAGCCGTCAAATGGCTTGGATATTTTTGATCATGTCCAGTTTATCACTAAAAAGTTAAAATTATATCCTGAAATCTAATTTGTCTATGGCAATGTGACACTGCAGGATACTAACTTTGCATAACCTTTGTTTCTGTTGACAGTTAGAAGTGGACCCAATGCTTACATAAGACGATTCTTTGCTGAATGTTGGCGTATGAAAGGTGTTTGCAGGCCGAAATGTGTAAAGCCTGAAATTTATCGTATTATTTGTGATGATTCACATGTGTGCTGCGTAAAAGAAAAGGATTTACCTCCAGTGGTTGGGAAATAGTAGTGAGTATCTCAAGGCTCCCGCTGATTTTCCTGGGAAACTCAGATCTTTCTGAGACATGTCATCCCATTAAAGCAATGGTTTCAGCCTATCACTGTTTCTGTGTCTGCTATATTTCTCTTTGTTGTCTCTACTACGGAAATACTCTCCTAATTAAATTCCTTACATTCAGTATTTTTTCTTTTTAATAATTTATTGCTCATTACAGGTCTCTTGAGAGCTTTTCTGAAGTATAACACACAATTAGAAAAATGTACAATCGTGAGTAAACGTCATGATGAATTGCACACATTTAACACACCTATGTACCCAGTGCCCTGTTTAAGAAAAGAACATGACAACATCCCAGGCACCACCAGTCATTACTCCAAATGGGATGATCCCTAGTCTGATTTTAAATGGAAAAGTCCTGGCCTCTGTTTTTGAACTTTATATAAATGGAATCACACAGCAGGTATCCCTCGGTGTCTGGTTTCTTCTACTCTACATTGTTTTTGTGAAATGTGTTCATCTTGTTTTATGTGATTTTTGTTTATCCTTCTCAGTGGTATATTACATCGGTGAAGACACCACAATTTATTTGACTAGTCTGGTGTAGATGTCCATATTTGTAGTTTTCAGTTTGGGGCTCTCATCAGGAGTGCAGGGATACAGGCATATCTGGGGGCATATAACTAGGAATACAATTGCTAGGTCCATCGGCTAGGCACATATTCAGTTTCAGTAGACAGATATTACCCAGTTGTCTTCCAAATTGGTTATACCAGTTGATACTCCCACCCCCAGTGTCTGAGAGTTCTTGCTGCTTTGTGTCATCCTCTGCAACCGGTATTTTCTGCCTTTTTTTTTTTTTTTCACATTCTAGGGAGTATATAGTGATGACATATGGTGGTTTGTGTTTTATGGATGATTAATGAAGCTGAACACCTTTTCACGTTTTTATTGGCCATTGGGGTCTCCATAGTTGTGATGTGACTGCTTAAAACTTCCATCTATTTTTCTTTTTGGTTAGGGCATAATATTTGTATTTTATTTATTTATTTACTTTAAAGATGTGGGATACAATTCAGGGTTAGGTATGCAAATGTTCATTATGCAGGTATCCTTGTTGATGAGGTGTGCCCCCCTCCCCTGGCCGTTTCCCTCAACTGACAATCCCCTCCACAGTTTCCCACTACTGCCAATCCCTTTCTTATAGTTTTATGATAATTTTTCAAGGTCCACTTATGAGTGAAAACATATGGTACTCTGTTCTTTATTTCTGTGATAGATCACTGCATATGATAGACTTTAAATCCATTCAAGTTGCGGCAAAGTCCATATGTTTGTCCTTCTTTATGGCTGCATAACATTCCATTGTGTATATGCACCACATTAAAAAAATCCAGTCCAGTTTTGATGAGCAGCGTGATTGGTTTCATGTTTTTGCTGTTGTGAATAGAGCTGCAATAAACGTGCATGGGCAGGTATCCTTTTTGTAGAATGATTTGAGTTCCTCTGAGTATATTTCCAATAGGGGAATTGCTGGGTCATATGGAAGGTCAACTTCTAGTTCTTTCAGAAATCGCCACACTGCCTTCCAAAGAGGTTGCACTAGTTTGCGTTCCCACCAGAAGTGTAGAAGCCTTCCTTTTTCTCCGCATCTTCGCCAGCATCCGTTGTTGTTTGTTTTATTAACGATGGCCATTCTTACTGGGGTTAGGTGGCATCTCAGTGTGGTTTTGATTTGCATTTCTCTGATGATGAGTGAGGCTGAGCGCTTTTTCAAGTGTCTGTTGGCTTCCTGTGTATCTTCTATTCATGTCTTTTGTCCACTTTTTAATGGGACTGTTGAAAAACTTCTATCTATTTTATTGGATTGACTGCCTTTGTCTCCTTGGGAGGGCTTTTACTTCATTGCTTTCAACATGAAATCGTAAGGGGCACTCATGATTTGATGTTGAAAGCAATGAAGTAAAAGGCCTCTTGAAAATATTCCACTGGAGATATTTGAGTATGCTGTCATTCATAACGCAGGGTTAAATAAATTTTGTTCTGTTTTGTATGACCAGGCCATAAAATTTTTTCTATTCCTAAGTATTATTAAATTTTCTCATCCTGAGCAAGATAAAATATTCAAGTTAATAATTATTCAGAGTCCTCCTTCTTTGACTATGTTTTAGGAAGAATAAGACTGGGAGAAGGATAATTTGCTTTTGATGGGCAAACTTCTGTGAAGAAACACTACCAAAATCTGGAGCTTTGATCATATACTAGCTGCGGCGATGGGTGAAACGTCCATCCCGTGCAGCCTCAACTCTGAGACAGAACTCTATTGTTCTGGCTTTTCCAAGGAAGCGACAAAGCTGATTATGTACCCAGCCAGCTCAGGTTTAAATGCCGTGAATGGCACTCTTGCCCTCAGTTCCATCCAGATGGAAAGTTTCTAGCTCAGGCGGGGTCAATAGGTAGCATTTAGGTGACCTGGAAGACAGTTCTTCATGTGCAGCCTTAAAGGTTGAGACACTGCATGTGTGGTCCAAACCCTGCACTCCTCAGGGAGAAGCTGGGATTTGAGGGGGTCTGTGGCATGAGTGTGTTGTTGCTTTTTTAAAAACTTATCTCGGTGTGGATGTTCTTTCAGTTGCCTGGCGTGTAGGAGTCTCTTGACTAGTTTCGGGATTTCTCTCACAGGGAGTTGATACGTGTTATTCAGTGAAGCCATTGTAGGAAGAAAAGTCAGGAGACTACTCTTCCACCGTCTTGATGATGCCTCTGACCCCTGAGATCCTTTTTATTCCACAAGGCTGAGGCAGAAGTTTATATGGCCTGGAAGGGAAAGAGATGCCATTCCTTCGGTTCTACATTCTTCTCTCCTTCCACAGAATCTTTACACAAACAGATGGCGGCCCACTATCAGTCCTTCATGTCCATGGAAAGAACTTATTTCAATGACTATGAACAAAGATGTCTATCAATCCATCTCACTTTTTGATGCATTTCAAAGTAAGTCACAGCCCTCAGGACATCTGTTCCTAAATGCTTCAGAATAATATCGTTGACTGGAATTATTATTATTATTTTTAAGTCAGGGTTTCACTCTGCCACCCAGGCTGCAGTGCAGTGGCATAATCATGACTCAGCAGTCTCGATCTCCTAGCCTCAGGAAACCCTTTTGCCTTAGCCTCCTGAGTCGCTGGGTCAACAGGCATGTGGCACCATGCCTGGCTAATTATTCTAATTTTTTGTGAAGACAAAGTTTCTCTATGTTGCTCAGGCTGGTCTCAAACTCCTGGGATTTACCCCTCCCCTCATTTAGATAGTGTTTTAAATTTCTTTCGCGATTTTGCTTGTATCCATAGTTTTCTATTTCTTTTTATTGCTGAGTAGTATTCTGTTGTATGACTTTACCACGGTTTGTTTATACTTTCTGCTTCCATGCGTCTGAACTGTTTACACTTTTTGGGTTTTATGATAAAGCTGTTATGAACATTCCGGTATAGTCTTTTAGTGACTCTAAGCTTTTACTCCTTTAGAGTAAATACCTAGAAGTGGATTTTTTGGGGGCTCATAAAGTAGTATGTTTAATTTTCTTTCTAAATAGTTTTATCGATTAACATGTAATTTACATGCCATGATGGCATAAAATTCACCCCTTTAGAGTGTACAATTTTTTTTTTACTATATTTACAGAGTTTTGCGACCATCACCATAATCAATATTAGAATATTTTCATAATCCCCCAAAGAAACTCTGTATCCATTTGCAGTCACCCCCTATGTCAGTTTGCTAGCACTACCATAACAAAGCACCACAAGCTGGGTGACTTAAACATCAGAAGTTTGTTTCTTCAAGATGGCTGACTGGAGGTATTTCATGCACACCTCGTCCACTTAGGCGAATCAAAATAGCTGTAGACAAATCACACTTCGAATACATGATCCCAAAGCAACAGGAAACATCAAAAACCAAGAAGGGGAAAAGGCAGCCTGCCTATCCGGACCGCGGGGAGCCGGAGTGACTGCCCAGTGTGGGAGAGGGTTGAGGGAGAGCCTTTCTGCGTCCACTTTTTCACTCAGGAATCCTTCAATCCGGGCCAAAGGAGAGCACCTTCACCAGCCTAAGCTCAGGCTCTAATTTAGGGAGACGAGAAGGAATTCGCCCCGGGTCCCACGCCCTTTTGAGGACCCAAACAGTTACAGCCAGACACCATTTTGATCCTAGCATTCGTTTATTTATTTTGCGAGTCGGAGTCTCATTCTCGCCGCCCAGGCTGGAGCGCCGAGACGCTCAGGGCCACCGCAGCCTCGACCTGCTGGCCTGGGGCGCTCCGTCCGCCTCAGCCTTCCAAGGAACTGGAACGACAGGCGCGCGCCACCACGCCCGGCTCAGTTTTTGGATTCGTTGTAGAGACGCGGTCTCCAAGAGGCCCAGGCTGTCTGGAACCCGGGGCCCAGCGGCCCTCCAGCCTCGGCCTCCCAAGGGGCTGGGGCGACAGGCTTCAGCTGGCCCAGGCCTGCAAAAGACCGTGCGCCCCCCTGGAACGGGCGGCGCCAGGCCCGG